AAAAAAAAAAAAAAAAAAAAAAAAAAAACCAAAATTTGTTGAATCAGTCTGTAAGAAGCTTAGGTTAGATAATAGGTGGATCTATATTAATCCTGTTGGCTCTAGGGGGGGTCTCCTTTTATGCTGGTCCAACAACATCACCATTTTGGACATCATCAATCTTGACTTCTGCAATGAAGTCAAATTCCTGTTCAAAGGTAGTACCATCACTCAATGGGCCTGTTTTGTTTATCTTAGTACTGATAACACTGTTAGAAGTTTGCAGTGGTCCATCCTCCTCAGACACAAGCTGATGTGGGATGACTATTGGTTCATGGCAGGGGATTTCAATGATCTCCTCTGCCATCAGGACAAGCAGGGGGTAGAAATAGAGAAGCCAGTAGCTTCCTTGGCTTTCAGAGGTTTGTCAATATTATGGGAATGGTTGAAACCAAAATTTCAGGACACAAGTTCACTTGGTCCAATCTCAGGAAGGGTAGCCAATTTTTGGAAGAGAAATTAGACAGATTTTTCTTCTCTCCTGTCTGGTTAATCCATTTCCCCAATTCCATTGTTAAGCACATCCCTCTCACTTCATCTGACCATTGCATGCTGGCTTTGGTTAGTGATTGTCTTGTGGAAAAAAAGTCCAAAAGTTTCACATTTGATACTAGATGGGTGCATTCTGATGGATATGATGAATTGATCACTGAAGCATGGAATAAGACAGTTGAAGGGCCTGCTCTCTACAGTACTCAGGAGAGAATCAAGAATGTCAGGATTGCTATCCTGAAGTGGAAATCTAAGTCCTCCATAAACTCAGCAAAGACCATTGAGGAATGTCAGAACAAACTTACTCATTTGAATGCCCAGGGTGGAGACAGAAACTGGGAGGAGTGGTTTAGATGCAAAAGTCTCCAGAACAAAGCCTATCTGGAAGAGGAAATATTCTGGAAACAAAAAACCAGAAATTTATGGCTTCGAGAAGGGGACAAAAATACCAGATATTTTCAAGCTACTGTCAAGCAAAGAAGAGAGCAGAACAGTCTAAATTGCCTTGTCAAGCCTGATGGTGAAAGCTGCAGATATGACCAAGAAATCCTCACAGAACTCACAGAACTGTTGAACTACTTTACATCCCTCTTCCAGACTTCAAATCCTGATCTTGACAGATGCAATCTGAGGGGAATTCCTAAATCTATTTCTGATTACCACAATAAGATCTTATGCGAAGCTGTGACTGAGGAAGAAATCAAGCAAGCTTTGGATGATATGGACCACAAGAAAGCCCCTGGCTCTGATGGTATGACCTCCTTTTTCTATCACCACTCTTGGCACATTATTAAAGATTCTTTCTGTGAGGCTGTTCGTAATTTCTTTGAAAAAGGGAAGATGCCCAAAGGCATTAATCATACTGTTATCACATTCATTCCCAAAAAAAAAAAAAAAATCCCACCAAAGTTTCTGATTTTCGACCCGTAAGCCTTTGTTCTGTCATTTATAAATTAATTGCCAAAGTCCTTGCCAACAAGATCAAATCTGTCTTGCATCTCTACATTTCTCCTGCACAATCTGCATTCATTCAGGGGAGACAAATAGTTGACAATATCATCATAGATAATGAAAGCATCCACTTCCTGAATAGCAAAAGAAAGGGCAAAAATTGTTTCATGGCCTTAAAGCTTGATATGGCCAAAGCTTTCGATAGGATAGAATGGCTTTTCCTTATCAAAATCCTTCAAAAAATGGGCTTTGCTGACCTCTTCATTTCATGGATTTGGATCTGCATTTCCACAACCTCATTCTCTTTCAATATCAATGGGCTGCCCAAAGGTTACTTGACCCCATCCCGAGGGCTCAGACAAGGGGACCCTCTGTCCAATATCTTTTCATCATTCTCTCAGAGGCCTTGTCCAATCTTCTTAAGCAAGCTAATTCCATAGGGATTTACAGTGGCATTAGAATCAGCAGGCATTCTCCCCTAATCACTCACTTATTCTTCGTTGATGACTCTTTGCTCTTTTGTCAAGCTGACACACCTCATGCTATTACTATTCTGAATATTCTGGCTGATTATGGAGCCTCTTCAGGGCAATTTGTCAATATGGATAAATCATCAATTTTCTTTTCTCATAACACTCATACTGATACTATAGTTGATATCTGCTCTTTGCTTAATGGGATCTCTCATGTGCATTCATCCCAATATTTAGGACTCCCTCTAGGCATAGGCAGATCCAAAAGAAATACTTTCAAATTTATTACTGAGTGTGTGTGGAAAAGAGTGGAAAACTGGAAGAATCCCTTTCTGAGTGAAGTAGGTAGAGAGACTCTCATTAAGTCTGTGATTGGAGCTTTGCCTACCTATGTGATGTCTTGCTTTAAATTGCCTGCATCTGTATGTGATGACATTTGTAAAGAATCTGCTTCCTTTTGGTGGGGGGTTAACAAGGGAGGGGCTAAAAAACTTCATTGGGCTTCATGGGACAACCTCTCTCAGCCTAAAAACTTGGGGGGGGGGTTGGGTTTAAAAATCTTAAAGCTTTCAATGATGCTCTTCTTGCTAAGCAAATCTGGAGAGTTATCTCCCAACCTGACCTACTCATGAGCAGGGTCATAAGTGGGAAATACCTTCACAAACAGACCCTCAAAACTGTTAAGCCCAAACAGGGTGACTCGTGGCTTTGGAGAAGTTGGATGGGATGTTTCAAAATCATTACTTTGGGTGCTAGGTTCCAGGTTGGCAATGGGAGCTCCATTTCTATTTGGGACTCTCCTTGGATCCCAGGCATACCTTCATTCACTCCTACTCCCAATTTTATGGATGATAAAATTAGGCTTTCATGTGTGAGTGAGCTTATCCTACCTGGTGGTAAAGATTGGGATAGAGAATTGGTGTTGCAAACTTTTAATCCTCATGTTGCAGATATTATCCTTAATATTCCTCTCAGCCATCAAGGAAACAGAGACAAACTCATCTGGCACCTCAACAATTCAGGGATATTTACAGTGAAATCTGCATACAAGATGGCTCTGCAACAGCTACCCAAGGATACAAATGCTCCAGAATCCAGCAAAGGTACTTCTGCAAACAGGAGAATGTGGGACCTCACTTGGAAATTGCCAGTCCAAAACAAGATCAGAAACTTCATATGGAGATGTTTGAGAGGTTTCATAAGCTCCACGAAAAGACTCCAATGCAAAGGCCTCACTATTGATAGCATATGTGATCTTTGTGGTGCAGCTGAAGAAGACCTGGAGCACATATTTTTCAAATGTCCAAGAGCACAAATCTGTCTACAATGGAACAGGATAACAGACCAAGTTAACTCCTCCTTTGCTGAATGGTGGACCAACATCTTTAATGATTCAAGTCTCCCAGCCATGACTGATAGGATCAGCTTATCTACTTATCTTATGTGGTGATTGTGGAAGACTAGAAACAACTGGTTGTTCAACAAGGAGAGATGTACTGAGGTTGAGGTGGTGAGAAAAGCTACTCATGACTAGGCAGAATTCACTAATATTGGGTTAAGATACACTGAAACCCTGATAGATAAGCTTAGCAACAAACAGACACCAAGACACCCTTAGAGGAATTTTCCCCCAGAGTAGGGCAGATTTCTATCTCTGCCAGTGTTCTACCCTCTTTGGATGGTTGTGCTGTGTTTGAAGCTGTGGCAAAAAAAGAGGAACTCACTATGCTAGAATGGAATGAGTCTTACAGGTATGAGGGAGATGAGCTTGGGAAAGCACTATGTTTAGTCAGATGGATCTTGGAAAAAGCAATTCAAGCTGGCTGGTCTCACATTCTATGCAAAATCACAAAGAAAGGCCTAGCTGAACAGCTTAAAAAGAGACAAAAGTTCAGTTGGAACATTCAAACTGTGGCTGAAGATATCTACTCCCTTGCAAATCTGCTCTCTTCTTGTGAATTTGCAGATGTTGTAGCTTAGTTGATGTTTCTTGGTTGTTTCTTTATCTTTCTCCTTTCTTTTTCTATTTCTCTCTGTTTCTAGGTAGTTTGTAGCATGATTGCTATTTTTTAGACTCCAGCTTGAGCCTGGATTCGTGATTATGTACCCTGTTGAACTTGATGTTTTCCTTTTTAAGTTATATATCAGTTATCGTTTAAAAAAAAAAAAAAGAATCTTTTCAAATGCACCTTAGTAGTTTCAGATATTTATATCAGGATTATGATTGTAGCGACATATAAAGCAGGGCCAGCCGAGGGACACAACAAAAAAAAAGCTCAAAATATAGCCAAAACTCAAAGACTGTGACAAGGATTTGACATACTTTGGTTGAAACACATGGGCAGTTCATCACAAACCAGCTATTCATAGTAGCTTTGAAACATCACAAACCAACAATATCCATAGTAGAAATTTAAAAGATAACTACTAGTACAGCAAGTTCTCGGATTGCCTAAAAGCATACCTTTTTCTTTCCCACCAAGTATAAGAGCACGTGACAACGGATTCCCCTCTCAAACCCCTCAGCCCCCACCCATCCCAGGTCAATATCATTACTTACAATTTGCATCCACATTAGATGCAAAGTCTCATAACATGTTCCAATCAACAAGGAAACTACAGCTTTCAGAATTCAGACAGTAGAAATAACAACGTTTCACTATGAAATCAAGCTCAAATCCCATAACATGGATGCAACTAAAACTTCCATCTTCTTTGTCCCATAATTGTTTCAGCTATGATCCCATCAAAATACGCCAAAAAGAAAAAGAAAAAAGAAGGAAAAAAAAAGAAC